TGGGAGATCATGGGTATCTTTGCCTCACTTCCTGATCTTACTGGAAACACAGAACATTTCCCTACTAAGTAAGTTGGTGCCTTAGGAATGACACATGCACAAGGACACTATCCTGTTAGGAGTCTACCTATAATTCCCATTTTCTTAAGAGTTTTTATAAAGAGTAAGTTCAAATTTCGTGGAAGGCTTTTTTACCGTCCATGGAGGTAATTATAAGACTTTTCCCCTTAGATCTATAAATATGGTATATTATGCTAACGGATTTCCTAATATTGAGTCAACCTTGCATTCCTGGAATAAATCTACTTGGTCATGTGTATTGTATTTCCTTAATGTGAAATTGGAGTCGGTTTGCTAATATTTTATCTGCACATGCTCATTAAGAATGAAAGGCCTGTAATTTTACTTTCATTGTACTTTCCTTATCAGAGTTAAGTGCCAGTGCTATACTTCTAAAAATAATTAAAACATTTCCCTCATTTTCTATGCTCTGGGACAATTTATGGGGCATCAATGTGATCTGATCTTTAATTCTTGGTGGAATTACATTTTAAAGCCATCTGGGCCGGGTACATATTTGTGGGCTGGCTCCTTGGTAACTTCTTCTGTTTCTTCTACAGAAATCAATTAAGGTTTCTGTCCCTAATGGGTCCATTCTGGTAAATCATATTTTCCTAGGAAAACATACACTTATTTAGGTTTTCAGATTTATTTGTATAGAGGTCTTTCTCCTACTTTCCTTTAATTTGTTCCCCTCTGCCACTGCCAGTGAGCTGGGTTCTGGCATTTATCCCATGGATTTGTTTGGCCTGCTCTTGGGCTCTGTGTAAACAGACACACAGGCCCCACAATCCGCATGGTGGTTCCCACGTTAGGGTTATTCTGCAGTGCATTCGCAGGTTGATAGCTGCTGGGTTGTTTCCAGAGTTTGAGTCTTGTGAATAAGGCCACTATGAACATGCGTTTTGGAGTGTTATTGTGAACACACCCATTTCACTTGGGTGAGCACAAAGAGTGTGGCGTTTCTGGTCATAGGAGAGGTGCACGTTCGTGTTTATGAGGAATCACAAGATAGTTCCCAATGTGATTGTTGCATTTTCTGTTCTTACCAGTGATGCTTCATACCCTCACCAACGCTTAGTGTTACCTGTTTTCTTGACTGTAATCATCCCATTGTGTGTGAAATGGTATCTTAATATGATTTTCATTTGCATTTTTCTGATGACTAGTGATGTTGGTGAGTTTCCATCTGTAGTCCATTCTTCCATCTCCTTAGTAAAATGGTCTGTTCAAGTCTTTAGCCCATTTTTTAAAAATTGGGTTGTTCATCTTTTTACTATTGATTTATAGACCTTCTTTATATATTCTGGATAAAGTCCTTTGTCAATGTACCATAAATATCGTTTTCTCAGTCTGTGGCTTGTGTCTTCATTCTTTTTTTTTTAAACATTTTATTTATTTATTTTTTAATTTTTATTTATTTATGATAGTCACACACACACACACACAGAGAGAGAGAGAGAGAGAGAGAGAGAGAGAGAGAGAGGCAGAGACACAGGCAGAGGGAGAAGCAGGCTCCATGCCCCAGGAGCCCGACGTGGGATTCGATCCCGGGTCTCCAGGATCGCGCCCTGGGCCAAAGGCAGGCGCCAAACCGCTGCGTCACCCAGGGATCCCCTTGTGTCTTCATTCTTAAATAGTGTCTTTTAATAAAGCCCAGTCTGTCAAGTTTTCCCATGAAGGGCTAGTGTTTTGTCCTATCCATATCTGCCTATCCCAAACTCATGAAGACATTTTATTTTCCTCTAGAAATCTTATGACTATGGGGTTTTATCTTTAGTCCTAAACTATGTCTTGAATTAATTTTTGTGGAATTAGATAGGAATCAGTGTTCATTTTTCCATATAGACAACCAGCTGTCCCAGACACGTTAACGCCATGTTGTCCTGGTTACCACGACTTTACACTAAGTCAGAAGTCAGCATAAGTTCTGAAATCGTGTCCTCCTTTGCCATGGTTTCTTTAGTAAAGTGGGCCCTTTGCACAAGAGATTGGGATTGGGTGGCATCACATCTACAGATGGATTTCGGAAACTGGACTCTATCTGCACAAAATCTTTCTTTTTAAAAAATATTTTATTTATTTATTCATGAGAGACACAGAGAGAGAGGCAGAGACACAGGCAGAGGGAGAAGCAGGCTCCTCGCTGAGCAGGGAGCCCGATGCAGGACTCGATCCTAGGACCCTTGGGTCACTCCTTGGGCCGAAGGCAGGCACTCAACCACTGAGCCACCCAGGCGTCCCTGCACCTTTCAATACAAGAACATAGCATATCTCTTGGATATTCGGGTTCTGCACATCTTTTATTAGATTTATTCCTAGGTATTTTATGTTTTTTGATATGGGACTGGAGTTTTCTTTATGGGAAGGTTTTTATTACACATTTGATTTGTGTAGGGGCACCTGGGGGGCTTAGTCGGTGCAACACCTAACTTTGGCTCCAGTCATGATCTCGGGGTCCTGGGATCCAGCCCTGTGTCAAGGAGCTCCCTGCTCAACACAGAGTCTGCTTCTCCTTCTTCCTCTGCACCTCCCCCTGCTTATGCTCTCTTTCTCTCAAATAAATAAATAAAATCTTTTTAAAATTTTCAATTTGTTTAATAGATATTAGGCTATTTAGATTTTCTAGTTGTTCCTTTTTTGAGAGAGAGAGAGAGAGAGAGAGAGAGCATGCACAGGGTGGGGAAGGGCGAAGGGGAGAGAGAGAGATTCTCAAGCAGGCTCTATTCCCAGTGTGGAGCCCCATGCAGACCTCGATCTCATGACCATAAGATCATGACCTGAGCTGAAATCAAGAATTGGATGCTTAACTGACTGAATCACCCAGGTGCCCCTTCTGGCTGTTTTTATATCACCTTTGTTAGTATGTTTCAGGGAATTTGTCCATTTCATTGAAATTGCTTAATTTATTGAATTTCATTCTTAATATTTTCTTACTACTCTTTTCATGTATGTAGGATCTGTAATGATTTTAAATCTCCGGTGGCAGTAATTTTTATTTTTTAAAAAAGCATTTTTAAAAATTTCATTTATTTATGAGAGAGAGAGAGAAAAAGAGAGAGAGAGAGAGAGGTAGAGACAAAGACAGAGGGAGAAGCAGGTCCATGCAGGGTGCCTGATGTGGGACTCAATCCTGGGTCTCCAGGACCACGACCTGGGCAGAAGGTGGCACTAAAACACTGAGCCACCCGGGCTGCCCAATTTTTATTTTTCTTGATCAAATTTGCTAGGAGCTTATCAATTTTATTAATCTTTCCAAAGGACCAAATTTGACTTTGTTGGTGATGTTTATTATTTGTCAGTTTTAAACAATACCATCAATTTTTTCCATTCTTGCTTTTTTTTCTTCCACTTACATTGGATTTGATTGGCTCCTTTCCCCTAGTTTCATAAGAGGAAACTACACACTTTCTTCCTTCCATAGCTCACTGGGACTTAGTACTGTCTTTTCTGCTAATATGTGCTTGGAAGTTACCAACTCCCTTTGTTCTCATCATGACAAGGGCATGGATTTGTATAGTTTTGCTCATTCTTGTTGTTTTCCATCATTTAGAAGTGAAGGTATTTGGGTTTAAGTGGCTGCCATTATCCTAGGATGCCTAGAAAACTTCAATAACAGTCACTTAAAAGCTCTTATAAATTGATATTTATAAACCCTAACAGAAAAATTAGCACATGATGTGCATGGATAGTTTACTTAAGAAGAAGTACAGGTTAGCAGTGAATGTATGAGATCTCATTAATATCAATCCCATTAATACTCAAAGATATGAAAATTATAATAATATTAAAAAATTTATTACTTAACAAATTGGCAAAAATTAAAGAAAGAAAGGAAGGAAGGAGGAAAGAAGAAAGAAAAGTACTACACATCATCCAAAATTAAGGGAAATGAGTATTGTGATACACTGCCATTAGCCACAAGCTTCATAAAAGTTGATCTAAACTCTCTAAATGTCTGTATTTTAAAGATACAAATTGAAATATTTATGAAGTCGTAAGCTAGTTTTTCCTTAAGTATAGATGAATATATCCTAAGTGAAATGAAACAATTCCAAGAACATATTAAAAATTATGAGTCCGGGATCCCTGGGTGGCGCAGTGGTTTGGCGCCTGCCTTTGGCCCAGGGCGCGATCCTGGAGACCCGGGATCGAATCCCACATCGGGCTCCCGGTGCATGGAGCCTGCTTCTCCCTCTGCCTGTGTCTCTGCCTCTCTCTCTCTGTGTGACTATCATAAATAAATAAATAAAAGAAAAAGACTAACATTTAAAAATTATGAGTCCTGCATCAGGCTCCGCAGGGAGCCTGCTTCAACCTCTACCTGTGTCTCTGCCTTTCTCTCTGTGTCTCATGGGTAAATAAGTAAAATATTTAAAAAGCAAAAATAAAAATTACGATGAGACTTACCCCATAATATGCAAGAAAGATTCATCATCAGAAACCTGTCACCAAATTTGCCACATTAATAGGCAAAAGAAATATTATGTGATTATTTCAGTAGATGTAGAAATAGTGTTTGATGGAGGTCAAAATTTTTTCATGATAAAACCAAGGAAAACCGTAACACAGGCTGGAAGAAAGGCATGAACAGTCCACATAGTGAAGTAAGGCTCGTATAATGTCTAGGTACTGGTGGAGTCTCAGCTCGTCATGATGATGTTTGCATTTTGTGAAACATGAGTTTTATAATCACTAGATAAAGAAGGACACAAGTCTTGAAGCTTATAACCCATGACCAAGATCCCCTGTCATCTGCTAACTTGGGATCTGTTGCATAAGAGTCATAAATTAAAAGTGGGTGTTTCTGGAGGTTGTGAATACAGACTACAAAATGGGAGAAATGGTTGAAAATGCAGCAAAAACAATCCTTGCACTTTCTCATTGTGAGGATTTTAAGAATGCATGCAGGAGCCAACTCAAGTTCTTGTCTCTTCTAGTCTCTCGATGGCTTTGCCCTCGTCGTGAGTGCAGAAGGCATGATATTTTATGCGTCAGCAACAATCGTGGACTATCTGGGCTTCCACCAGGTAAACAGCTCTTCCATCTACTGCTCAGTGGCTCCCACTGTCTTGCATGTGCTTTCTGTCTTCCAGCCTTAAACACCTGTAAAATCAGGCTTCTCCTATCATGGAGCTTTTATCAGGTAAGGATTTCCACACCTCAGCTTTCTCTAGGGTTTGGGGTCATGCAAAACATGTGACAGTGTCCAGGGTCACAAGCATACGGGACAGTGACTTCTGCTGGCTGTACCCTGACCACCGTCTCTCACTCAGTGAGGGGCTGGTGAGCACCAGGGCGCCTCTCCTTGCTGCAGTATCCCTATCTGGAACCTCAGGTAGAGGGCACGTTCAGGGAATGGTGTGTTCTGGAAATGCCCTTACTGGGGATCCCTGGGTGGCTCAGCGGTTTGGCGCCTGCCTTTGGCCCAGGGCACGATCCTGGAGTCTGGGGATTGAGTCCCGCATCGGGCTCCTGGCATGGAGCCTGCTTCTCCCTCTACCTGTGTCTCTGCCTCTCTCTCTCGATCATAAATAAATAAATATTTTAAAAAAGAAAAGAAAAAAAAAAGAAATGCCCTTACTGATGTGCAGACAATTCATTCATTTGGCCCGTTGCCCCAGGCCTGTCCAGGCTGGATGATTCCAAATATCTGGGCAGGGCTCTGGGGTTGAGACCCATCAAACACTGGAATCCTCCTCCAAGAAAAGGTGCACTGGAACCCCCACCCATAGCCCAGGGAGAGAAAAGGACACCTCTGCCTGGACTCTGAGAGGGAAGGAAGTTGCTCATGAGAAATCCAAAGCTTCAGCTTGAAGTCCAAATCCAAACTCACACTCTTGCGTGAGGCAGGCCCCCAAGTCCAGAGCTAGCAGTGGACAGAAGAGATCTCAGGGCCCAGGGAAACACAAATATGACCTTTCAGCAGTAGGGTCACAGCCATTCTCTCTGAAGAGGAGTTCACCATGCAAAATTATGAACACACTCCATTCAACATAGAAATAGGCAGCTTAGAGAAAGAACAAAACAGAACTTTGAAAAATGAGGCATATCGTGTGTCTATCAGTCAGGGTCCTATTTGGAGGCAGGAACTGTGAAGTGATTTGAATGGCTTAATATAAAGAATTACTGTAAGTTTAGTATAAAGAATCATTAACTAGGAACACAAGAGCACAGAGTGTGGAGGGGCCACAGAGCCTGCAGGAGGCCGGGTCCTCCTCACTGGTGAGGGTGAGGCCATGGCCCCTGGGTGGTAGAGAGGTCACGGAGGTGCCCCAAGCCAGGGGGAAACTGCCCACCAGGAAGCTGGCCAGGTCCTGGGGGAGGCTACCCCATGGCGGGTGGACCTGGGCCAGGTGTGGCTGACACTCAGGGGCCCAGCTGCCCTCCTGTGGTGCCAGGAGAATCTTTGCCAGCAGAGGGGAAACATGTGCAGGATCCAGGATCAGAACCAAGTGAGGCAGTATGTGGAGTTGATAACAAAAATCTCGCTAGGTAGGTGGAAGACCCAAGGGTGCCCAGAAGCGAAGGGCAGTGGAAGCTAGTATCAGACAATGAGGGTCCTTTAACACATGTGAAAATTCAAGTCGGTCTGAGGCCCCTGAGGCTGATTGGAGCATTCCATCTAATTTCCATGAATTGTCAGTTTGATTCATATCCAAAACTGAAGTGGCTGTCACTGTACAGATGATTCTGAGAAGCGGTTCCTCTTACACTCACCTCTACATTTGCTTTCCTACCACCTGAGCCCAGGACAGAAGGGTGACACATGGTGTCCTGGCCACTGGCCTTCTCACAGGATGGCCTGTGGCTCGTGGAGGCAAGGCCTGGCCAGGACCCCCAGACAGGGCTGGGTGTGGGCTAGCTGAAGTGTGGTGGGTGTGGTGACCACCAAGGGTACTCCTGGGGCCACCCGGTCAGACAGTGGGTCTAGCACAGCCCTGCTCTCTCTGAGCCTGTTTCCTCCTCCATGAGCAGAGCAATCAGCCACCTGGTGACACTCACAGGAGGCTGCAGTAGGTGATGATAGGGCCCCACCACTGTGTCCTTGGGTCTGTCTCCACCTCCTGAAGATGTGCAAGATGCGTGGCAGGAGATGGGAAGTGCTGGGGAAGACATTGCCCAACAGAGGAGCCCCCTGACTCTCAAGGTAGCTGTGCTTGCATGGCTCTCTAACCACGGGGCCCCTTGTGTAGCACGGAGCTCAGAGGCCCGATGATGGCCACAACCAAGCTGTGGACACCATGTGATTCCAGCCTCCAAATGATGAAGCCCTTGGTTTTGTCTCCCTGACTCCATGTACAAGCCCCAAATCTAGAAAAATGGGTCTGGTCTGCCTTTTCCAAGCTCAGAATTCTCCTCCTCCACTGTGAGCTGAGTTGCCCTGTGGATTCTCCAGACACACCCAGGGCTGCCCACCTTCAGCCATGATCCGGGGGCTGCCTCGGTGGTAAATGCAAATGTCCTGAGGAGCAGCTATGGTCCTCGGCCTAAACATACTACCTGGATTCTCTGTTTTCTTGGAGCTTGGTTATTTTCCACCGAGTGTTAGATGCAAAATAAAGTCTTGCCTTTTATTATAAGGAAATTGTTTCTAAATGCCATTTAATCAGGCATTGCCTCTATTTATGCAAAATGTTTCAGGAAAATATTAGAACAGCTTTGTGCTGTTGTGAGCTTCTTTCACAAAATGCTTTAAAAGTCGGAAATCCATTATTTTAGTATCTTCAGATTCAGGAGTCTTTGCGATGAACAAGTTTTATTTTTTTTTATTTTTTATTTTATTTTTTTTTTATTTATGATAGTCACAGAGAGAGAGAGAGAGAGGCAGAGACACAGGCAGAGGGAGAAGCAGGCTCCATGCACCGGGAGCCCGACGTGGGATTTGATCCCGGGTCTCCAGGATCGCGCCCTGGGCCAAAGGCAGGCGCCAAACCGCTGCGCCACCCAGGGATCCCGCGATGAACAAGTTTTAGATGCATATTTTAGTTGCCATTGACATTTACTGATTCAAGACATGGTCGGTTCCCTCAAAGGCCAGCAGCTGGGGGAATGCTGTCCCTGTGTGAACCCGGTGATGGCACTAGAGCGGCTAAGATCCCACAGGCAGGTACCAGATGTGTACACAATTTGCACAGAAAGTAAAGATGACAATGATTGGAATGAGGTTTGTAAAAATTGGTAATGATTTTATTCTTAACTCCATAAGTGGTGACTTAGAGCTAAAATAAAGGCTGTGTGTACTTTATCAAAGCTGTGTTTGTTTTTCCACTATTTGATTTTTGCTCCACTATTTTTTTACCTATTTTTTAAATTGAAGTTTGATTGGCCAACATATAATATAACACCCAGTGCTCATCCCATCAAGTGCCCTCCTCAGTGCCCATCACCCAGTCACCCCAACCCCCCGCGCAACCCCCTGCCCAACTCCCCTTCTACTACACTTTGTTCGTTTCCCAGAGTTAGGAGTCTCAGACTCATGGTTTGTTTTGTCTCCCTCTCTAATTTTTCTCACTCATTTTTCCTCCTTTCCCTTATAATCCCTTTCACTATTTCTTTTTTTATATTATTTATTTATTCTTTTTAAAAAAGATTTTATTTATTTATGAGAGAGGGAGAGAGAGAGAGGCAGAGACAGAGACAGAGGGAGACATAGACAGAGGGCTCCATGCAGGGAGCCCAATGTGGGACTCGATCCCCGTACTCCAGGATCAACCATATGATGATTGTCCTCTCTGATTGACTGTCATCACTCAGCATAATACCCTCCAGTTCCATTCACGTTGAAGCCAATGGTAGATATTCTTCCTTTCTGATGGCTGAGTAATATTCCATTGTGTATATAGACCATATTTCGCTCCACTATTTGAATAATTATTATGTTATTCTCTCTACTCCTTGTCACATGTCCCCACTGCGTATTTTTCTCGACCTTGCTCTGTAGGGAGCAGATCCTGGGACAGGAAGGAGACTAAGGGCAGTCAGACGTGTCACACTAGTCGGTACTTTATTCCCCCAACCTGAAAAGTATCCATACTGGATATGTCCTCAAATTTGTCTGAGTTAGAAATATCTTTCCAGTTGGTCTGTTTCCTGGTTTGGTTAAGCCGCAGGCCCCCTCTTGCATTAATTCCACAATCCTGTCCATATTAATTAACTAAGGTGTGGGAACACATGAACAGGGCACCCAGGGACACCCGCTTTCTGGGATTCTGCAAAGCATGGGATCACCCACCAAAACTCACGAGGGAACAACTGAATGACAGTGCCTGTGTATTAATTCACCATGGGAACTGTGACTGCCCGGTGCTCAGAGGTCAGCATGGGGAAATGCCATCATCTACAGCAGGATAGAGGAATACCAAATTCCCACAATGAGTCAACCAAGTGGTAGGCAGTACCTCATACAAAATATAAAACATTATTTATAGAAATTAAAGAAGAACTAGATAAACAGAAGGATATGCCATATTTATGAATTGGAGGGCTCCAATTATCATTATAAACATGTCAGATCACGTTGTAGAGGTGCTGACATAAAAAATGAGCAACTTTAGAGAACCCAGAAGTCGACCCTGAACTTTATGGTCAACTAATATTCGATAAAGGAGGAAAGACTCTCCATTGGAAGAAAGACAGTCTCTTCAATAAATAGTGCTGGGAAAATTGGTCATCCACATGCAGAAGAATGAAACTAGACCACTCTCTTGCACCATACACAAAGATAAACTCAAAATGGATGAAAGATCTAAATGTGAGACAAGATTCCATCAAAATCCTAGAGAAGAACACAGGCAACACCCTTTTTGAACTCGGCCACAGTAACTTCTTGCAAGATACATCCACGAAGGCAAAAGAAACAAAAGCAAAAATGAACTATTGGGACTTCATCAAGATAAGAAGCTTTTGCACAGCAAAGGATACAGTCAACAAAACTAAAAGACAACCTACAGAATGGGAGAAGATATTTGCAAATGATATATCAGATAAAGGGCTAGTTTCCAAGATCTATAAAGAACTTATTAAACTCAACAGCAAGGAAACAAACAATCCAATCATGAAATGGGCAAAAGACATGAACAGAAATCTCACAGAGGAAGACATAGACATGGCCAACATGCACATGAGAAAATGCTCCGCATCACTCGCCATCAGGGAAATACAAATCAAAACCACAATGAGATACCACCTCACACCAGTGAGAATGGGGAAAATTAACAAGACAGGAAACAACAAATGTTGGAGAGGATGCGGAGAAAGGGGAACAATTTTACACTGTTGGTGGGAATGTGACCTGGTGCAGCCACTCTGGAAAACTGTGTGGAGGTTCCTCAAAGAGTTAAAAATAGACCTGCCCTACGACCCAGCAATTGCACTGCTGGGGATTTACCACAAAGATACAGATGCAATGAAATGCTGGGACACCTGCACCCCAATGTTTATAGCAGCGATGTCCACAATAGCCAAACTGTGGAAGGAGCCTCGGTGTCCATCGAAAGATGAATGGATAAAGAAGATGTGGTCTATGTATACAATGGAATATTACTCAGCCATTAGAAATGACAAATACCTACCATTTGCTTCAACGTGGATGGAACTGGAGGGTATTATGCTGAGTGAAGTAAGTCAATCGGAGAAGGACAAACATTGTATGTTCATTCATTTGGGGAATATAAATAATAGTGAAAGGGAATATAAGGGAAGGGAGAAGAAATGTGTGGGAAATATCAGAAAGGGAGACAGAACATAAAGACTCCTAACTCTGGGAAACGAACTAGGGGTGGTGGAAGGGGAGGAGGGCGGGGGGTGGGGGTGAATGGGTGACGGGCACTGAGGGGGGCACTTGACGGGATGAGCACTGGGTGTTATTCTGTATGTTGGTAAATTGAACACCAATAAAAAATAAATTTATTTTAAAAATGAGCAGCTTTTCTAGGTGGAAATGGCCAAGCTTTTGGGAATGCAGAGAGATGGGACTATCCAGGACCATCTGGAGAGGGCAAAGGAGTAAGAGTGGTGATTACAGGGCACTTACATGCTGGACACAAGACTGCCTATGAAACCCGGTTGTTGGGACAGTGTGGGATTGGCACAAAGGTTGATAAACTGGCCCACAGGACAGAACTGGGGGGCTCAGAGCAGATACAGGTGCAGGTTCGTGGGATTTATAGCAAAGAGGATGCTGCCCAGTGGTGGGGAAATGGCGGTCTTGTCAACAAATAAAGCCGGGTGAACCGGATCCACACGGAAAAGAAATGAATCTGGACTCTTACCTCACACCATGCATAGTAAATATCAAGTGATAGTAGAAGTTTCTAGAAGCTTCAGGACTGAGTTAGGGGATTGATGAGGGCAAGACCCCACGCATGAGGAAAGACTGATGAATTGGCTGCATTAGATCCACCAGAAGAGCAGGATGGCAGGCCAGGAAGTGGTGATGTTGGCAACAGAGCCCACCTAGCAGAGGACCCAATTCCAGAGCAGATGCAGAACTGAAAAATCAGCAAGGTACCTCAACGGAAGTCTGAGAGGAGGGCACAACAGCTGATACGCGCCCTCCCACACGACATAGGCACACACGATCACACTTGTACCTGAAGACCAATAAATACGTGAGAAGATGCACAATTTCATCTTCATGATGTGCAGGTTATAACCACGGTGAGAAACCATGGCACGTGCACCACCGTGGCTCAGATGCAGAAGGCTGGGAGTGTCGTGTGTCAGCCAGAGTGTAAAGTGACTGGTCTGCCATGCGCTGCTGCAGTGGCATATTTGTGCACTCACGCTGGAAAGGTGCTTGGTGCTGTCTACTAACACAGGCCCTCTGGCACCCCTGACCTAGGAACCCTACTCTCAAGTTTGCACCTAAGAGCGATGCACTCAGACACAGCAGCACCTTGTGGGTTAGTCCAGGGGAAACACTCTCCCTGTGGGCATGAGAAAGTGCTGCCACACACACGGCATGGGTGAACACGTTACAACTGTGACGAGCAGGAGGACAGACATCGGAGAACAGTGTTCCGTTTACAAACATAACCAGCACCGCAGCACGAGTAGGCTGCACCTCAGCCACCCCAGGAGGATATGGGGAAGGAGCTCTGAGAAGCTGTTGTGTCCTGTTTCCTGATCTGAGTGTTGGGTATACTGAGAACTCACTCATCCAACTGTATGCCTAGGATTTGGGCACTTCTCAACCAATATATTGTACTGAATCAGAGGAGTTTATTAGGAAAGCAGCCCTGTGGGAAGGGCACTCATGATCATAGGGCCACCAGATGAGCTAGGAGCTGGCAGGTGAGTGGGGAAAGCCTGGTGTGTCCACTTTCACCATGAGTTGGTCTCTGCCTTTTGGCCCCAAGTTCACATCCAGAGCCTCTGACCCTGGATGACAATGACCAAGGAGCAAGCATTCTGACCTCTCTGTGACCACTTCTTTCTCTGAAAACACTCTCCGTGGACTAAGGAATGCACAAGTGATTGTAGTTCAGACTTCAAGTGATGATCATGTTCCTTTTCTACTTTCCTGCAGTTGCATCTTGTTCGACATTGGGGGGTCCCAGTGAACCTTAGCCATGGAATTATGGACCAGAGTCGGGCCCCTGGAAAAGATGGTGGGTCTCATCCAGTCTGGGAGAGCTTACTAGTTACTTTCTTTAGAAGTAAACTAACTTCTGGTCTTCATTCTTCAGGAACTTCCCCTCCAGCTAATTATCATAATGGTCCTATTGGGAAATGACACAAACGTAGAAATGGCCCACTCTGAAGAAATCACCCAGTTATTCAGGTGTCATTCCGCAGCCAGGCTCTCATTCCGCGGCCAGGCTCTCAGTGTGGATAATGGGTGACACCCTTTAGTTAAGGGAGGGTAAGAGGGAGGTGTGCACTATTCCCTGAAAACGCTTCTGCTGACAACCGCAGTAGTCATGTTCCTCAGAAGCTAATCTCTGTAGCCTGTGGTTGTAGCCTCTGTGCCCTGGACTGCAGCTTACCAGTGTAGACCTGGTGCCTTTGAGGGTTGGCCTCTGTGTTCAGGGTTCAAGCAGGTGGGAGGACAGAGGACCAGAGAGAGGGCTGGGGACCAGTAGATCCTATGGCATCACAGAAGGAAGCAGCAGCCAGGCCTGGGGATGGAGGAATTCAATGGCTAGGAGGCCTGGCCAGGCTCTCACCTATTCTGATGGCGCCCAGCTCATCTGGCAGCTCCTGTCTCATGTTAAGACTCTGGTCTCACCTGGCAGTTCCCACCTCACTTCTCAGGGATCCTTTCCTAATAAACTTTTGTGATAGGATAAAAAGTGCCTGCGTCATAAACACACAGCTTGATGAGCCCCCTGAGTCCTGGAGAAAAGTGGGTATCCTGGCCCCTGAAGGTGTTTGGTCTCTGAGCCTCCTGCTCTGTCCCCGAAAGCACAGCCTGGTGGGTGGGTGGGGGGCCTCGCACGAGTCAGATGTCTGGCATTCCAGGTGTATGTAAGATGTATCCCCCCAGATACGGAGTGCCCTCCAGGCCAAACTCCTGCCTTTCTCATGAGACATCTTTCCATGGCTAAGCCTGAGATGGTTTTTGCAATTATTAATCACTGGCTTTGTAAAGCAGATTCACTTAGTTTAAAACAACTGTTGCCATGTTGCAGACGGATGTGATGCACCAAAACATTTATGACTATATCCACGTGGACGACCGCCAGGACTTCTGCCGGCAGCTCCACTGGGCCATGGACCCGCCGCAGGTGGTGTTCGGGCAGCCCCTGCACTCAGAGACAGGTGGGTCTGTGGGTCTTCTGGGGGTCTAACCAAGACTTGGAACAGTTTGTGTAAACATGTGGATGCCTCCTGAGAAAGGACCATCATACTTTCTCACCTTCTCCTTCAGAGACCCCATTCCACACACCCCTCCCTTTTCCAGGTGCCACCACTTAGCTCTCCAGCTCCTGCGTGCATGTGCATCTCTGGCATGGCTGGAGCGTGAGACCATCTCAGAAGAAGCTGCAGTGCTTGTCTCTCTGCAAACTTGCCCTCAAGATGCACATCTTCCAGGAGATTCCTTTGGCCCACATTAGATTTACCCGAAAAAAAGTCCCAAAGATTGTTGTCTCTTCACCCCTTGTGGGTGAGTCCCCCCCTCGCCCAGCAAAGCACTTCCTTCAGATCTATGGCTGCTGCGCCATCACAACATGTGCCGCAGGCCTCCATCTCCATGATGGGTAGCGGAGCAGATGGGAGGTCGAGGCGAGGGGGTAGCGTCTACTGGGATCCCAGCTCTTCCACACACTTTGTCAGAAGTTGCAAACAATTCAAGAAAACCTTCTACCACAGTCTCAGGCAACACCATGATTTACCTCAAAGTTGAGTGAAAAAAGAAAACTCCAGGTGCCAATACACAATATCATTGTATAAAACTCAGAAAAAAACAAGACCACTGATTCATAATCATACATACAGTTGTACTGAAATGATATTTTTAAGGGCAAATGATGAAGGCAAAATTTGTCAGAGCAACGATCTCTGTGGGGATGAGGATGGGTGGGTAGCCTAGGGAGCGACGCCAGTGGTGCTCAGTGGAACACACATGCGTGTGTGTGTGTGTGTGTGTGTGTGTATGTCCAAGAGACAGGGCAGGCATGCAGTGGGGGCATGTGATGGATGGGGGATGGGTGTATGTGGCGGATGTGTGTGTGCATGTAGTGGAGCAGATGTATGTGTAGAGGCGAGCGGGTGTATGGAGGGAGTGGGTATGTGAGGGTATTGGTGGGGTAGGTGTGTATATGGGTATGTATGTGGCAGGATGTGTGTGTGGCAGGGTGTAGGGGGCAGAGTATGTGTTCATGGTGGGGTGTGGATGTGTGTGGTGGGGGTATGTATGTGAGGTCGTGTGTGTCTGAGAGAGGGTATGTGTATAAGGTGGTTGTGTGTGTGACGTGAGGTATGTGTGTTTGGCAACATGTACGTGTAAGGTAATAGGTGTGTTTGAGGTATGTATGGGAGATGGGATGTGTGTGGTGCAGTGTGTGTGTTTGTGTGGTGGGATGTTTGTGCATGGTGTGTGTGTGTGTGAGTGTGTGGTGTGTGTGAGGTGATGTTTGTGTGTAAGGCGGGGTATGTATGTGAGGTGGTATGTGTGCAAGATGGGGTGTGTGTGGTGTGTGTGTGTGAGAGAGATGGGGTGTGTGTGTTTAGCAGCGTGTATTATGAGGTGGTATGTGTATGGGAGGTGTGTGTGAGGGTGTGTGCAAGATGGGGTTTGTGTGGTGTGTGAGATGAGGTGTATGTGTGCGTGGTGGGATGTGTATGGTGGGGTGTGTGTACAAGGTGGGGTGTGGATGTGTGTGATGGTTGCCTACGTGTGGGGTGGTGTGTGTGAGGGTGGGCTGTGTGTATGTATTTGGTGGGGGGTGTGTCAGTTTGGGAGTGTGTATGGTACATGAGTTGGGGTTGTGTGAGGCTGTATGAGTCGTGTTTGGGCAGTGGGATGTGTGTGAGTGGGTGTGTATTTGTGAGGTGTGCTTTGTGGGGGAGTGGCAGCACACAGGGCCCAGGCAGAGGGCGGTGGTGTGGGAAGCCTGCGTGTGACTGTGTGTGACTGAGTGGGTGTGTGAACATGAGCATATGTATATGACCATGTGCGCATGTGTGTGTGGCCATGCACGCGTTTGTGGCTGTGTATGACCGTGTGTGGCTGTACATGACCGTGTGCACACATGCGTGACCGTGTTGACCGGGCGTGGCTGTGAGCACACGTGCGTGGCCGTGGAAGGGGCAGGCCGCAGGCAGGAGGGCGAGCAGGCCACTCAGCCGGTGCAGCCCGAGCCCCCCGGGGCGCACTCACTGCCTGTCCCCCCCTTGCCGTCGTGGCCACAGAGGACGCTGTCCTGGGGAGGCTGCTGCGCGCGCAGGAGGGGGGCGCGGGCTCGCCCACGGACTTCTCCGCCTTCCTGACGCGCTGCTTCGTGTGCCGCGTGCGCTGCCTGCTGGACAGCACGTCGGGCTTCCTGGTGAGTGCGCGCCCCCTGGCGGCCGCTGGCCGTGTCACCTGCGGACTCGCGCCCCGCCCCCCTGGACACCTAGAGACCCCCCCGCCCCCCCTCAGGCTTCCGCGCAGGCGCTTTGCGAGCAGGTGCCTGGGAGTTCCATCTCTAGTCCTCCTCTGGCCCCTGGGGAGAGGGGCGGGGGCAGGGGCGACCCTGGGCCCACCCAGACCTCTGCCGGCCTGGCCTCCCGCGTCCTAGGAGAAGCCAGCCCCGGGACCTGGGACCCCAGGACGCCCAGGCCTGCGGATGCGTGCCCTGCTCCCAGCCCCACCCAGACGGCGGCCCCCCCCCCCCGGGTCTCTCACGTTCCTTGGGGCCATGCAGGGGTCCCCGGGAAGGGTGCACCCTCAGCGGCCGCGGGGCTGGGAATTTCCAGGAGGCGCTCAGCCTGTGTGGGAGGGAAGGTGGGCAGAGGACAGGGGCGTTCCCCTGGATGGTCTCCCAATAGCTGTGAGGCCAGGGAGCCCCGGAGCAGCCCCACAAACCGGGGAGAGCCCCGGCGGCCCCTGCTTGTCACCGCCAGCTCCGGGTGTCCTGCCTGCTGGTGTGTCCCACCTTTTGCGAGGCGCCCTCCATTTCCCGGATTCACTCGGGCCTTTCCCAGCCCAGGGCCTGCAGCGAGCGGGACCATGCAGACCAGCTGCCACAGAGGTTCCTTACTGTTTTTGAGCAGCTTCTGGGAAGTGCATGCCCCAAGCCACTCTGCTCCTGGGACTGAGAGATCCCACGGGGTAGCCTCGCCACACGCCGGGCTCAGTGGGAGACGCCTCATCATCCCACTGGCCCACCGGTAGGCAGTGTCTTCCATTAACCCTCTCCTATTGGCTGGTCTTTTTTTTTTTTTTTTATAAAAACATTGTCCGTATGTAATACATATCCAGCCATTTCAGAAGAGCAGAGAGCAAAACCCAATAAATGTCCCTCCTTTGCATACCCAGGCCCCTTTCCAGATGTCTGTGCCCCAATACTGCCCTTCCTGAAGCTCCCCTCACCCAGCCTCCCCACTGTCTGCTCTGCCCTGACCAGTGTGAGTGGGCTGAGCTTGTGGTGGTCTTGTGGGCTCTCCGGGAACTCCGGCCCCCTCTGCTTCCACCTATGCTTCCCCCCCCACCCCGGCCCCCGAGCCTCCCTGGCTGATCCCTCTACACACTGGATGTCCTCACCTGAGATGCTGCACTTCCAGAGTCCAATGTCACCCACTCAGGCCACCCAACCTGTGCGGTTGCTCTGCGTTTGCCCAAACTGATGAAGCTTAAGAGATAACCGCAGGCTACCTCTGGGGCCATGTGGCGTTTATGGCCACATGTGGGCCTCAGCCATCCAGCAGTATAGTGGCGGATTCGTGTCCCCTGGATTTGTTCTCCTGATCCAAGGGCTGGTGGGTGGTGGTGGGACCACCTCTGAGGACCCAAGACAGGCAGAGCCCTATAGCAGAGGCATCCCACATGTCTGCATATTTTTAAAGGCCTTTCCACGCCCACCAGGACCTTAAGAGAAGCAGCTTTTTATTTGCACAGTGGTCCCGGGTCTGCTGCCACCGTGCATACAATGATTGCTCATTTTGTTTAGGTGATTGATTGACCATCAAGTCTTTTATTTTTATAATATTTTGTTCTAAAATTGATAGAAACTAATATAGTTACTATTTATTGGCTGATAAGGAATGTATACTTTTTTTTAAATTTTATTTATTTATTTATTTATTTATTTATTTATTTATTTATTTATTTATGATAGTCATACAGAGAGAGAGAGAGAGGCAGAGACATAGGCAGAGGGAGAAGAAGACTCCATGCACCGGGAGCCTGACGTGGGATTCGATCCCGGGTCTCCAGGATCGCGCTCTGGGCCAAAGGCAGGCGCCAAACCGCTGCGCCACCCAGAGATCCCAGGAATGTATACTTTTTAAATTAGGTAAACAATTCCTGGTAACTTGGAAATCCTTATTTCCAGATGACATAAAATTGGAGGGATTTAATATACAATCAAGAAGAAATTAAAATATAGGTTAAACTGTAAAACAACACACTGAATCAAGGAAACAAGCAACAGAAATTTTGTCTGAAAATGTTTGATTATATTAATCTGTGAAATTCATCACTGCACACACTGGAAAGTGCTCAGGCATTGACAAGGAATGTCCCGAGAATGGGCACATGGGCCTGACTTGGGCTCCTCCTGGCATCCCCCTGTGACTCCATGGAAGCCACCCTGTTTCCACAGTCAGGTTAAAGCAGTACAACTGCCAGACCAGCTCAGGCCACCCGTGAGAGCCCATTGTCACAACATCAGGAACTTGAAGGTCCAGTTGACATTTAGTTGGTAGCTTGAAATCAGCCATGATGGGAATATTTCCACCAGAGAAATGGGCAAACATTACAAATCAGGTTTTTCTCTGGAGAGCTGGATGTTGAACATATCTGAGTGCATCGCTGCCTTGAATCCTCCCAAGCTTGTGACAGGCAAGCAGTAGGTGTTTTGCAAATGTTTGTTCATTCGGTAAATTCATAGATAAATGAGGAGCTGGACAGATGGATGATGGGAGGATGGGGGATGGATGAGGTAAACGGTTGGGTGGAAGGATAGATGGGTGGGTGGGTGGATGGGTGGATGGGTGGATGAGAGGATGGAGGGTTGAAGGGCTAGGGAGAGAGGCCACATTGTGGGGTCATTCTTTAATCAAGCGCAGGGATGCACTGAAGACAGTTAGTGATTTAGATCAGCTTTTCCACTGTAGAAAGATCTTTTATTTTCTTTTATCACCAACTCCTAAATTACTTGTTGGCTGCCTAACTCATACTACATACTCTGAATAAAATCAAATTGTCCCTAAGCTTTATCATTGTGAATGAAGGAATGGCAATTTTGGAATGGAGAGGTACAGCTGGAACAGGCCTCCCAGAGGCCTCTGCTCCAGCAAATCCTGCCAGGGAGTGGCTGATGGCTCTGCCGTGGGCCAGTGACAGCTGGTGTCCATGCACATTAGCACTGACCATGTAAGGTGAGGCCACCACACCCTCACACCTGTGAGTGTGCACAGGAGCACATACTTGTCAGTTAGAGGCTGTTGCTGAGACTCCAGAGAGCCTGAATGGTTCTGAAGGCCTGGGGTGGTCCACATCCCCATAGGCCAAGTGTGAAAGAATTGTGGGTTTGTGTCTCCTTTGTGACTCGGAGTAAATTCTTCTCCATGTTTCTATTCCTGAGAATGTGAGTTCTGCATTCTTGGATGGTGTCAGTGTCGCTAATTCGCTCTGTGAACACACCTTCATTTCTGTCTTTAAAACACCAGACAATGCAATTTCAAGGAAAACTAAAATTCCTGTTTGGACAGAAGAGGAAAGCGCCGTCGGGGACAGTTCTGCCCCCTCGGCTCTCGCTGTTCTGCATCGTGGTGCCTGTCCTCCTACCTTCTGTGGCGGAGATGAAGATGAAGAGCGCATTTTTGAGGGTGAAGCACAGGGTGGACGTCTCAGCCTCAATGGATGCAAAGTGAGTGGGGGTCCCCTTGGAAAGCAGCCACACTCACAGCAGCTGGCGGTGGAAACTCGATATTATGTATATTCGTTCTTCGTTGGTGTTCCACAGCCAGTACATCATGCAGGAAACAGCGCTTAGAGAACAGAAATGCTTTCAAACTAATGTTTGTGAACGCCACCACCACATCTGCCTGCATCACTGTGCCCCAGTCCCCCCAGTTACAGCCTCAAAGTAGGTGCCCTGAGCCCTGGTTGCCATGGGGGGCGAGTGCTGGAGCTGACGCCTTCTTTCCCCAGCACTAGCCCTCCCTCCGCATACAGGACTCTGCATGGGGACCTGTGTATGACGCAGAAGTGCCCCGGCTGTGAGGACGTGGCACAGAGGCCCCCTCTGCCCACCCCAGAGTTTTCTCAACTTTTCAGTGGTAGAAAAAACTCTTATCTAGTTTTCTAGGCAATTCACGTCTATACTTTGTGGAGCAGATTAGGTCTGCGTTGCAGGGACCAGTGTCCTGAAAGTGATCACTATGTGCATCTGGGGGCACCTGGGTGGCTCAGTCGGTGAAGCATCGACTCTTGGTCGCGGGAGTGGAGGGTCGTGGGATGGAGCCCTGCCTAGGGAGGAGTCCCCTTGAGATTCTCTCTCTTCCCATGCCCCTCCCCTCTCCTCCATGTTCTCTCTCTCTCTCTCTCTCTCTCTCTCTCTCTCTCTCTCTCAAAAAACAAACAAACAAAAAAAACTCTACATCTGTGAATTGTGTTTTCCATACCATGTGAGTGAGACCAGGTGTGGGGCAGGATGTCTGGCATCTGTACCAGCTATAGGTGCAACACATCAGAGACTCCCAAGTCTTGGTCCCTGGGTGACAGTCTGCCAATGAGGCTCACTGGCTGCAGGGGTGCATCATCCAACACCCACCAGGACCTCCAGCAAGCCTTTGGGGTACAGCTGAACTCTCGGGTAGATGGAAGTCAAACCAGGAAAGGTTTCCAGCTGCTCTGACCAAGTCCCCTTGCCCCAGGAGGGAGTCTATCTCGGCACCCTCCCCACCAGCATGCTGTCTCTGTGTTTGCCTTTGACACCACACGTGGTAACCCACCCCGGGAGCTCACACACCTGGCATCTCCACCTCTGGGAAGTGCCTGTCCTCCCTCTTGCCTCCCACCAACACAGAAAGCCTTGGCCTCAGATGCTGCCCGTTAATGCCGTGTTGGGTGCTTTCAGGAGGCAGGTGGACGGTCCCCTCCTTTCCCAGAGAATGTGTGGCTTCACAGCTCCTGCGCCCACCCCATGTCCCACAGGGAAGGTCTTGGCTCCTTGAACCCCTGCCCAGTGGGGAGGGGTCTGAGCTCCTCAGCTCTCAGGCTCCTGATGGCAGATGAGGTTTAGCTCTGGGATTTGAGAGCACGTTTGCTCCCCTCCCTCCGCCTGTCACTTGGGGTGTGGGGAGTGTGCATCTGTGCCACGGCCACATCACTGGTGGAAACGTCACATCCAGCAGAATCCCCTTCTTAGCCTTGAGTCCTGCAGGAGGTCCTGCTTACATTTTGCCCCAGTGCCTCCCCCACACAGGATCCCCTCCACAGGGAGCCCCAGGGCCTCCTCTGTGACTCTCCTCTCGTGGGTGTGTGTCTATCCATTTTCATGGGCCACCATTCAGCTTTGGTTTATTCAGACCGACTTTCAGACAGTGAGAAATCGGACCACATCTGCAGGGCGGGAAGGGCTTCCATCCCGGGCCCTCGCTTCTGCCCCTGCGGCCTCAGTCGCTGTGGGAACAGGGACGGGTGCAGGGGTGGTGAGGCTTCAGGGACAGAGCCGCCCTGGAGCCCCAACACGTGCCAGCATGCGGAAACACCGGCCGACCGAGTGTTTACAAGTACACGTATGTGCCCTGTTACTGTTAAAGATGCCACATGTCCTAAGCATGAGGGAGGAAAACCAGAATACCCAGGGGCAAAGCTTCTGAGCGCAGGCAGGCGAGGGCAGGCCAATCCTGGGAACACAACGTGGAGGGGGCCCCAGGGCGCCTGCTCGCACAGAGCCTGCCACATTCTCCACCTGCATCCTGGCCACGGTGGAACACTCCCCACCTTAATTGACTGTCCTGGAGTTTTCTGTGTCCTTAAACTGTTTTCAGTTCGATAATCATAATTGAAATTCGTGGTGAACTTCTCTTTTCCATGTGTTTCCAGCCTGCACCAGGGTAGAGGGAACCATAGCCTCTCCTGGTTCTCCAGTGAGGTTGGGCCAGGCGGGGAAGTGCTGGCAGGTATGGGGTGGCAGGTGTGGCTCAGCAGGTCACCCAGCGCCCTTGCACATGGGACAGTGCGGTCAGGACTAGACCTCGTGTGGTACAGGGTATTGTCAGATCCTAGAAAGGGGTGCACAGAGGCTCCCACCACCATGGTACAAGAGAGAGAGAAAAAAGTAACGTCTTCGCTTCCTCCGTGTTTCTGAATTCCTACCTGCTCTGACTTGAACTCTAGAGCCCTCAGCATACCCGTCACAGTGGCTGCTTCTGAGCCACACGGTCAGGCCAGAGAGACATCAGGATGCAGGCAGGGATGGCTGCAGGGCCCCGCTTGTCATTTAAAGATTCAGATCCAAACCCCCCCAATCCTCCATCCCTGCTCCCCATCCTTGCTCCCCATCCCTGCTCTGCTCCCCAATCCCTGCTCTCCTGTCCCTGCTCTGCTTCCCCATCTCTGCTCCCCATCCCTGTTCTACTCCTCATGCCTGCTCTGCTCCCCCATCCCTGCTTCCCCATCCCATCCCTGCTCCCTCATCCTTGCTCCCCCATCTCTGCTCTCCATCCCTGTTCTGCTCCCCCATCCCTGCTCCCCATCTCTGCTCCTCTATCCCTGCTCCCCCATCCCTGCCCCCCAGTCCCTGCTCTTCACAGAGGGGACCAGAGGATGGGCAGGGACAGGAGTACTGTATAGGGAGCCCTGGCTCTGAGGCCCACTGGCCTGGGGTTGGGTCCCAAGGCTGATGTCTGCTAGAGAGGTGGCCTAAAGGACCTCACTTAACAGTTTTGATCTAAGTTTTTTGTTTTTTGGGTTTTTTTTGAAAATAATGAAATAGTATCTGTGAGAATGAGTTTGCTTAGAATTTAAGATGATGGTTTCTGTGTGTGTGTGTGCCTGCTACCCTATGGAAGATGACTTTCTTTTCACTAGTGTGGCTCTCATGGTGAGTTTATGGAACATAACTACTGGAAATCACAGATTGACTGTATTATCATTGTGGTCATTTTATGTGGTGTCTATTTTCTGGAGCAAATGCATTAGCCCTTTATTGGCTTGATAATTGATATGAATTGGGGTTTTTAGCAAATCTTTAGCTGAGCAAAGACTGACAATCTATGAGAAATTAAAAGTGTCTTCCCTCCCAGGATGACAGTGACACCTGACACCGGCACGAGTCAGTTCCTACCAGCAGCACAAATTTACCTACAAGTTTCCTATTATCTGTTCTTCACAGAGCAAAAGCTGCCGCGAGTCTGTGTGAACCAGAATTGCGTGGGAAACCCAACTACTTAGCAGGTATTTCTACAGATTTGCTCTTTCACATGCTTCAAAAGGGTGCAATGTGTCTGGTCCCTCTGGGGGGGCTCCCCCTGCCTCAGCGTTTGTGGTGCATTCCTCCAAAACCCAGGCCAGAGTGTGTGAGCACTGCTCTCTGAATCCTGACAGGGAGGAGTGATGGAGAAAACATCTCAGTGCTCAGGACACCCACGGACGCTGGCCGCTGGGCCCGGGTTCCAGCCAGGGCCTCATGCTTGTGTCTCAGGAATGGCCCTGACCTCGTCTCCAATCCCGAGGGGTTCGCAGGGTAAGTGGTGTTGAGGCCCAGCTGGGTGTTAAGGAAGAGCCACTGGCTGTGGGTCCGACAGGTGAACGTTGCTCCTAGGGGAATATGAATATGCAAGTGTCCGTGGAGCATGCCTAAACATGCTTCCCACCCCAGAAGTCATCCTTACACGTCTGGGGTACAGCTGAGGCCGCTAGGACCCATGGACTCACCCTCCACCTGAAGCCGAGATCCTGCACAACTACCCTAGCCTCTGCCTTCCCCCCAGCCTCACCCAGACCAGGAGAGCTCCTCCTGGAGGACTGGCCTGGCTGTGAGGCTGCGGGGCTCCACCTCATCCTCCCGGGCACCGTCTCCCCTGTCACGCCGGGTGCCAGCCCTGATGCCACAGGGTGTTCTGAGCACAGCAGCATGCGTGCCCGTGACAGGCCCCAGCTCCTCCAAAATGCCCGAGAGGGCATCTATGTGCTTTGCAGTGTGACAGGGCCCTCTGTGTCTGGGGTGAATATGCCTGTCCTGTGGCACACGGTACAGGCCTCCCTGGGGAAGGCAGTTACAGGAGAGGAGGGCACCCTCACCAGGGCCACAGGGCTGGGGTGGGTGTGAAAGGCAGAGGTGGGCCTGGGCCCCAGGGCACAGCAGCCCTTCCAGGTTCAGCCAGGACCACACTGGTTTAGTTAGTGCCTTCCTTTAGAGCACACCCCCCCACTCAGGGGGTCACGTGATCACCATCCTGCTCTGTCTGACAGCCATTTCCTCTCCTCAGGGACAGGGGAGCAGAGGAACACGGGAGGGTGCCCAGGGGGCGGAGGGAAATACACGCATACAGCTGCTGCTTCGAAGCACCAGGACCCACAAGGCACCTGAGCTGGATGCCGGGGAAACACAGTCAGGAGGGCAGCACCAGGGTGAAGCTGGAGCCCAGCAAGAGTGACCCGTTCTCCATCCATGCTGTGTCCCGCACTTCCTGCGTGCCCTGCCCCAGCCTTCCGGGTGCCATCCACTCCAGTGTGGGTGCTGCTTTCAGGAATCCACCCAGCTGTCACCCGGGAAGCCATTCCCCCAGTGCCTACACCAGCCCCACCAGCAGAGCTTTTCGGGACAGCGATCAGGGCCAGCTGCACCCTCTGCCCAGCTGCCCCTTCCCCCAGGGGAGCCTGGACAGTGGGCTCCCTCCATCCAGAGGGCAGCGCCTTGCAGTGGCGGGCTATCCCATCGAGGACACCAAGTTTCGAGGTGGGCCAATGCCCTTGGGAGCTCCGTGCAACCCCATTCTTTCCCTTGATGTTCCCATAAAGACGGAGAGTGACTCTGGGTCTGAAGATGCAGCCGACGGCTACTCTGTGGCCCCAGGCCAGCTGTGGCCGGGAGCCACTGGTGTGGCCAGGAGACAGCGGGTCACGTTCCCTACCAGGATGCACCTGAAAACGGAGCCGGACGCCAGGCACCACCTATATGCTGCGCACCTGGGACAGAGCGTGCTGGAGGCTCACCCAAGTGGCCGGGCTCCGCTCAGAGCTGGCAGAGACCTGGCCCCCTTCCCCCCCACACACTGTGCCTGCCTGGAGCACGTGCATGGCCCTCCTGAGCCAGATGGCCCCCGCCACCTCTGTACGCAGGCTCAGCAGCCCTCTTCACTGCCCTGTGACTGCCAAGCCCCAGAGTCCGCACCCATCGTCAAACGAGAGCCCCTGGACTCACCGCCATGGGCCAGTCACAGCCAGGGTAGGGTGCCTGGAATGTTCCCCAAAAGTGCCATGGCAACACTGATGCCGCCCAAAGCCCCTGAGTGTGCTTTCCTGCCATAGAGTGGGGTGTTTGTAAGAGCTGGCCTGTGTCCACGCTCAGACTGACCCCACTGTACCCCTCAGTCCTATGAGGTGTGTGCAGTGTGTGCAATAATAGCATGTTCTGTATTTTGTAAAATGTCACACAAGTTCTTAAAGGCAAAGTGGTCTTAAGTCTGTTGGAGTACGACAGTGTTTCTCTTTGAAGGACTAAAAGCTTTCAGAAAGTGGGCCAGAGTGAGACGAGCAGGCCCGCCGGGGCACACCCCACTGTCTGTGAGGCGGTGGGGCTCCTGGCTGCCCAGCATCCCACAGTGCACCTTCCCGGGCCCTCATGCCCACCCCTCAGCTTCATGAGCATGGGAAGGTGGGTTTACACAGCCACACCTTGGACTAAATCAGGGGCGTGCTTCTCTTAAGCCACAGGTGACTGCGTCCCTATTCATGGAAAGAATATGGAAGGTTCCAGGCCCAAGAGGCTGTGTATGCTGGGCCCTGCCCTGCCTATCCCCTGCCCCCCTCCCATTGGCGGAGTCTGAGGCTGTGCCCAGAGTGGACGTGGGCAGGAGTGTGTGCTGTGCCTTCTGGAAGTCTCTCTGGCTTTTTTCAGGGGCCTCTGAAGATGGTTTGTGCTGGTCTGTCTGCAGCACGTGGTGAACCTCCAGTTTGGGATCTGGGTTTGGAGGCAGAGACAAGGACAAATGTAGAGAATAGAGGCAGGAAGTCAGGCTGCCCGTAGAGGCTGGGCTTTCATGTAAGAGCTCTCATCACCGCCTAAGTAGGAATTACTAGAGGCAAGACGGATAGGAAGCGTTTTCTAGAAAACCTGTGAAGTCGTCCATTCTGACTGTAGGAAACTGGGACGTGAAGGCACAAATCACAAAGTGGGAGTCCCTGTGCATACTCAGCACCAGGGATGGGCCCTCCCCTGTGCTCCAGGAACGTGGGCTGTGCTGTCAGGGGCCTGCTGCACTGTGATGGACGCACTTCTGCCCCTCAGGGACCACGGCCCCGTCCCTAATGTCACCTCCACCCCAGAGTCTCAGGGGGCAGGGTTCCTAATGTCACCTCCATCCAGGAGACTCGGGGGGGGCAGGGTCCCTAACGTCACCTCCACCTGGGAGTCTCAGGGGGCAGGGTCCCTAATGTCACCACCACCCAGGAGTCTCGTGGGGCAGGCTACCGTCACCTGGGAGTCTCGGGGGGGGGCAGGAGTCTCGGGGAGGCAGGTTCCCTAATGTCACCTCCACCCCAGAGTCTCGGGAGGCTGGGCAGGAGCCCCCAGCAAGGACTTTAGGTTCCAGCACTGGCACCTCCTGCTTCTTGGCGCCCAGTCTTCCTCCCCGCCTCGCCATCATCTGTATCTTAGAAGCAGTGCTCAGCTGAGTCGATGCTGGAGCTGTTGGCAGGTGCTTGCTCTCCTTGTCAGTACTTGGGGTTTGGCTGGCGGGACCAGGGTCCTGGGGTGCAGGGTGCAGCCTGCCAGCTTTGTGGAAGGGCCCCCTTGAGGGATGGTAGGAGCCAAAGACCCCTCCTGGCACTGAGTGGCTAGTGGGTGGCCCCCAGGAGCAGCCCAGCAGCCTCCCTCCACTCACCTCACTGAGGCCTTACAGAAGGTGATACTGGTGCTGTACTGTCCCCACTTCTCCAACCAGAGTGTCCCCCCCATTAGATGGTGGCACAACCCCCTAGGGACACCTGCTGGGCACCCCGGGCTGGCCCTAGGCCTCCTCACAGGGTTCCAATGCTGAGCACAGCACATCTCTGCCCCCTGAGACACAGAGTGGAATCTGAGTCCTACTCAAACCCGGCAGCCGAGTCCTGGCCCTCTCCTGTGACCATGCCCCACCCCGCTGGGGTCCCCATTCCCGAGGGCGCCCACCCTCTCTCTGCACCGGGCCCAGGCTGGCTGCAGGACCGGGTCCTGAGATGCCCGGGGCTCCTGCAACACTGATGCCTGTCCTGCCCTCTGTCAGGACACCACAGACGGGTGGTGCAGCCCCCATGGCCCCCTCACGCAGCAGTCAGCCATGTCCTGCCGTGGGCACGCGGACAGCTGGATGCCAGCTCCACGGGCCTTGTGCTGGGGGTGCCCCTGGTCCACCTGGGGCCCAGACCCTTTCTGTCCATGAGGCGGCACCATGGTGACCGTACAGCCATGCTCCTCCTGAGACACGTTGTGAGGGGGACAATGGAATGTAGGAGGGCACATGTGGTTACTTGTGCTTTAAAATGTCATTATCAGTATGAATTACAGGCTTATATTTTTCTGTTGTCTCATAGCTTTTGCTTATATAGCTGAGAAAAAATTAAAATCAAATATAATGTGGGGATGGATGGACAGGAGGAGGTGAACACAAGTAACATTTTATATTTTTACGGCTTCTACTGGAGGAAAATGTTTTCAGTATCTAGACAGACTTGTTGAATTTTTAAAAATGGATATATTATAATGAAACTTTTTATACTGTTTCCTCAGTGCTTTTAGAAAGCTTTCAAATATATTTCTGATACTGTGGTTTGTACTAAATATGCAATATTGATATAAAATAAATCACCTGTTAAATCATGTTTACCATAAACAGAAATGTCTACTTGATTTTCCAAAAGAAGTAACTATATTTCCTTGAGTGTGTGTTGGTTAATTTATGTTCTAAGACAAGTCCTTCACCACTGGACAGAAGGCAAAAATAAAAGTGAAAATAGATATGCTGGCACCAAAAGTTTCAAGGAAGAGGGAGGAGGCTGAGCGATTGGCCACGCGAATGCTGTGGTGCGTCCCCCCTGTACCACCAGCCCTCTCCTGACCATCATCGAGGGTCCGGAGACCCTGACAGATGCCATTAGACACTGCAGACTTGCCCTGTTCTGCAGGGAGGGGACAGCTGCCCCTGCGAGTGTGCACATGTGAGTGTGTGCAGGCATGGGATTGCCAGCCTGGCCCTGGGGAGGGGCTGTAAGCTGCTCACTGTGAGCCCATGGGCAGGAGGAGCAAGTGAGCTCTCTGGGGTCTCTGTTTCCAGGACGCTGATCCCATTCTCATAGCCTAACAGGGGAGGGGTGACAGCTGCGGGACATTCCAGCCACAGCAGCAGTCCGCCAGGTCTCACGTCTGACACTTGGCATTGTCATGTGGGTTTTGTGCACTTGGGGGTGAAGTGGTGGGTGGTGGTGGTGGTGTGTTTCCTCCTTCCTAACCTCGTCCACCAGCAGTGTTGTTGGGCAGCTGCTGAGGGCAGTGGCCGTGTAGGGACACAGCGAGGAAGGGAAGACAGAGCTGGGGGTGCGGTGCCGGAGCCGACGTCCCTGCATGTGCAGACCCGTGACCACAGAACCACCTCATTGTGTCACGCACGAAGGGCCCAGGCTAGCAGAGCACAGCCCAGGCGGGAGTTTGTGGGCAAGGCCACACAGGGCGGGGGTCATAGAGTAGCCTGGGGCCTGGGGGTGGCTGGTGGGCCAGAGCCAGGGGGCGAGGGGAGGGCCTGATGGAGATCAGAGGGCAGGGCTCTGGCAGCCAGAGGACCTGAGGCATGCCCCTGGTGTCCTGCCCCGCTGAGGCTGAGGGGCACATGGCCTGTGGGGCAGGACGCCAGGACACGGGGACACAGGGAGCCCCCTCCCTGCCCGCCACTGGCCTGGCCTGCTGCTCAGCCCCTCTGGTCTCTCCACACCTGCTGACCCATCGGGTGGATGTGTCCATGTCCTTCCTGCATCATGATAGCAGCTTCTCAGTTATGGATTTTCTCTGTCTCTGGCTTGTCTTTTCATTTAAAGATCTTATAAGATATCATACAAGAGTTTAAAATTTTAGCATTGCAAACAGTCTTTTTCTTTATGGATTATGCATTTAGCATCTTACGAAAAAGCTGACGGTGCCTTTGACATTAACAGGGCCCCACCAATGTTCTATGGCCCCGACCGTCCTGTTCCTTTGTGTTCTATGTGTTTTTCTCATAACCACTTGCCAATTTTAAAATCTGTTTACCAGGGCAGCCCCGGTGGTCCAGCGGTTTGGCGCCGTCTTCAGCCTGAGGTGTGATCCTGGAAACCCAGGATCGAGTCCCACATCAGGCTCCCTGCAAGGAGCCTGCTTCTCCCTCTGCCTGTGTCTCTGCCTCTCTCTCTCTCTGTCTTTCATGAATGAATAAATAAAATCTTAAAAAATAAAATAAAATAAAATAAAATCTGTTTACCTGTGCTCTGATAGTTGATGTACCTGAATGTATTTCTCCACTCTGGGTCCATCTGTCCTTTGGTGTTTCCTCCTGTCCTGTGTCCCCGCCGGACTGCTGCCTTTCCGGTTCCTCCCACATCCCCCCCCCACCCCACCCCCCCGCCCCATGTCTAGAAGTTAGGCCTCTGGTTCTGTTCTGCCTGAGGATCTACCAGAGTCTAGGCCAAAGCCAAGCAGCAGCTCTATTCTCACAGAATAGATCTCCCCGGCCCCCCCAGACAAGGATCTCAGGACCTCAGGACGTGCTGCTTGGCTCTGTACCCCTGCCATCAGTGGGCGAGTGGGTGTCTTCACTAAAAATAGTCCTGGGGCCGCTTCAGCCACAGGGATTCAGTGAGAGCCGCTAGGCCGAGGAGGGAGTTGCACCCAGGTGACCTGCAGGCTCCCAGCCCTCAGCTCTTGGGTGAGTGGCTGTCCTGGCTCGGGGTCCCAGCACTGGGGAAGAACTGCTTTGCGGGGCTTTGTTGAGTGTTCTGGTCTGCTCTTGCACTGAGGAGGCATCCCTTGAGCACCCCAGCTTCATGGAGGAGCCCTGACCCCACCTACAGGTGCGAAAGCCCACCCTGGGCACCAGGCCCTCCCGCCCTCACCCATCCCAGCTCTAGCACACTCTTCCTTCCTGCTTTCCTCAGCTTAGGCGGGCGCAGGGGCAGGGTGCTTTAAAACACTGCTCACTGTTTTCAGCCCATGTTTTATAGGCTTTTCAGCCTGCCAAAAAGAGAAGTCGAAAAATTTTAACCAATATTTTGTCTTTTTAGTTTTGAGAAAAAAGTCCTTTCTTTAACAGCTATCCCAGGGGCACCTGGGTAGCTCAGTGGTTGAGAGTTTGCCTTCGGCCCGGGGTATGATCCCGGGATCCTGGGATCAAGTCCTGCATTGGGCTCCCCGCAGGGAGCCTGCTTCTCCCTCTGCCTGCGTCTCTACCTCTCTCTGTGTCTCTCATTAATAAATAAATAAAATCTTAAAAAGAAATAACAACAACAGCCATCCCAGTACTGAGCATCCCGGCTGAGGAAGCTATGGGGAGTCCTACCTCCACACGCAACTGTCAATAGCACAAGGTGCTACCCAGCTATGATAAATGTGGCTATATTTTGAAATAAGTCCACAAAGCTTTGATAATTTTGGCAAAGTATTTACTAATTTCAAAATGCCTTTACAATTATATTTTTATCTTTTTGTTTACATTCTTCATTGTTGACCTTAGTAATATACCTTCATTAACTGCTAGGGACTGATGGAACCACAATGGGATGGGTCATCAGGTAGTAAGACCCAGGACCGCACCACGATGTGGGGGCTCGCAACCAGCACCCCCGCCCCGGCCCCGTGCTCACATTGCACACGCGCACCGCACTGCACCTTCCTCCCTGCTACTCCGGGTCCTGCCCGCTTGAGTCCCTCCTGTGTGTGAATGTGGCTGATCCCAGGAGGTGCCTGTCCATCCTGAGCACACGATGCATCCCTCACTCAGATTTGAGGCAAATGGTGCTTCTCACCGCAACAGGCTGGGGTGGAGTCTGAGTGCCAGAGAGTCTTCAGTGGGGGACCCCATCCTGAGGGTCTCGGTCCCCCGGGGAGAGTCCAGGGAGCGGGGACCCCGTCCTGAGGGTCTCGGTCCCCCCGGGGAGCGTGCAGGGAGCGGGGACCCCGTCCTGAGGGTCACGGTCCCCCCGGGGAGTGTGCAGGGAGCGGGGACCCCGTCCTGAGGGTCTCGGTCCCCCCGGGTGCGTGCAGGGAGCGGGGACCCCGTCCTGAGGGTCTCGGTCCCCCCGGGGAGCGTGCAGGGAGCGGGGACCCCGTCCTGAGGGTCACGGTCCCCCCGGGGAGTGTGCAGGGAGCGGGGACCCCGTCCTGAGGGTCACGGTCCCCCCGGGGAGTGTGCAGGGAGCGGGGACCCCGTCCTGAGGGTCACGGTCCCCCGGG